AGGTGGTGCCGGCACCGAGCCTAGTACTTACCAATTGGTAGTCGGGTGACAAGACCTAAGTACTTTTGTGTACTGGTTAAAGCCAGGGGCTCTGGAGAAGGGAAGTCTCAGTTCAAGTCTGGCCTCCACCTCTCGCGAAAAGAAACCTTTACCAGGTGACTTGATTGAGCCACAGGGCCTTGGTTTCTAAATCAGCAAATGGGGAGAAGGGCAGTAATGCCTCACAGGGTCGAGGTAACCTTTCGGATGATGCCAAGCTTTCCAGGCTTCTCTGGTACAATTCTGGCCCTATCCTTCCAAGACTCCTAAGAGTTTAACGAAAGGGGCTCTGCTCCCAAACTCTGTGGTATAATTAGCTGGGAGGGGTTCACTCAACCTTGGGGCTGGAGGGACCGTTCCTTCCCACATCTTCGCTTTCCATCCTCTGCCCCAAACCTCTCTGAAAACCCTAAAGTTGGCAGAAAAACAACAGCAGTGAATGTCTTCCCTACTAGAAAAAGTCTCCAAGGGTTTCTTGGAGTTTGTAAATGGTTGAATTTATTAGTCTGACCTTTTACAGATACAAGTGACAACAATAATTCAACCTGGAATAGAACAAAAAGGGAAACCTATTTAAAAGCCCTGGGGTCGTACCACACTTCAGGCATAGCTGGATCCAGGTGCTCAAGCAGTGACCTAAATCTTGAATCTCTTTCAGCTCTGCTTCCCTCCTTGATTTCTTTCTCTTACAGCTCTCTCCAGTGTCCGGGGCAGCACCAAGGTCACATATGACCAGGAAAGCAGGAGCTGTTTGCCAACAATCCCAGCCAGTCTCAGGGCTGACTTCCGTTGTACTCATTTGGATCACAAGTCCTTACCTGAGCCAATCACAGCAAGATTGGCCACACCTGGCTAGATTGAGCCCCTCTAGGAAGAGGATGGGGTCAGCCCTTCCAGAAGGACATGGGGTGAGGACGAGTGGGAGGAGGGATGCTTCTCCCAGAAAAATAGCAAGCCAGTTACCACAAGAGACATGAGGTGAGGACAGGAACAAAAAGGAGCGGTCTACTGCACCATTATCCAGGCATGCAGCAGGGCCACCGTGAGGCAACATTACAAGGGAGTGGCAGTTACTTCAGGCACTGGGAAATGCCCCTGCACCTCAGCTCCCACCATCCACCCAGTCCTGACATTTCCCAAATGTTTGGTCAAAGGCATCTCACTTATCTGCCTGTCCTGTGTGCCCTCCCCCTCCCCCACCCCCCACAAGCCGAACAGATTATGTTACTCACAAACACCATTTGACGTTGGTACTTTTCTTGCACTCACCGTACAGATAAGGAAAGAAAAGCTCATCAACTCCAAAGCCAAAGTCAGGAAGCGCAGAGAGCTCAGATTGGCACAATACTGCTACCATTTATGTTGCCACCCCAGCTCCACTTGCTCCTTTCAAAGCCCTGGGCCCACCTCCAGGTGGGAGGCCAGTGGGAGGAGCTCCACCAGGGAAGGAAACCCTTGGCACCCCATCAGCTTCCATAGTACGGAGGGAGGCAGACCCTTAGCTTTACCATCTCCCCCTTTCTCCCCATACTTCATGGGAAAAGGAAAAAGAATTCCCTCCACAGAAAACTAGAGTGAGGTCAGAAAGAGGAAGTGGATGCCAGGTGGTGGCCCCAAAAAAGCAGAAATCTCCTTATTGATGAATGTTAGCTTCCGGTGGTCTCTGTAACAAATTACCACAAACTGGGTAGCTTAAAACAACACAAATTGGGGCACCTGGATGGCTCGGTCAGTTAAGCATCCAACCTCGGCTCAGGTCATGATCTCACAGTTCACAAGTTTGAGCCCCGCGTCGGTCTCTGTGCTGACACCTCAGTCTGGAGCCTGCTGCAGATTCTGTGTCTCCCTCTCTCTCTGCCCCTCCACCCACACGCTGTGTGTGTCTGTCTCTCACTCTCTCTCTCTCAAAAATAAACATTTAAACACACACACATACACAAACTTACTCTCTTATAGTTCTGTAGTTCAGAAGTCTGGGGGCGCCTGGGTGGCGCAGTCGGTTAAGCGTCCGACTTCAGCCAGGTCACGATCTCGCGGTCCGTGAGTTCCAGCCCCGCGTCGGGCTCTGGGCTGATGGCTCGGAGCCTGGAGCCTGTTTCCGATTCTGTGTCTCCCTCTCTCTCTGCCCCTCCCCCGTTCATGCTCTGTCTCTCTCTGTCCCAAAAATAAATAAACGTTGAAAAAAAAAAATTAAAAAAAAAAAAAAAAGTCTGATATCATTTCCACTGGTGAAAGTCAAAGTGTAAAGAACTGTTTCCTTCAGGAGAGGCTGAGGGGAGGATCCATTTCATCGCCTTTTTCCAGCTTCTAGTGGCTGCCTGTATTCCTTGGCTTGTGGCCCCTTCCTCCTCCTTCTAAGTGGCTCACTCATCTCTTCTGACTCCTGTGTCCCTCTTAAAAGAACATTGTGATGACATTGGACCCCTCCAGAAAAGACAGGATAATCTTCCCATCTCAGGATCCTTAACTCAACTGATATCTGTAAAATCTCTTTTGCCACATAAAGGAACAGATTCGTACATTCTGGGGATTACGATGAGGTCATCTTTGGGAGACATTATTCTGCCTACTATGGTAGGTATAATCGGAGGGAGCTAATATAAAGTGCTCTGGAAATGGAGAAGGGCTGGCTGCCTCTGCACCAAGAGGGAAAAAATGCCCTAAGAAACCACAGCCTTCACATTAAATATTCAAATGAGCTAAAAACCCATCTAGCTTGGCAATCTCAGCCTCATTCCTTTAAATATGCAAACCATTCAAATCCCCATCTACCCCCCCCCCCCCCCACCAGGCCAGCCAAGCCTCAGAATGCTTGCACACCCTTCTAATGGAAATCACCAACCACTACCCAACTGCCCAGGGCAACAGCTATGTGCCCCTGATGCCCTGGCTGGTTTATCAGTGGCATCTGAACCAAGGCATTCAACTCTTGCCATGGCCAGTGAGCTACAATGTAGCTACTAGCCAAAGTTATAAGACAAGCAACTCCTGGCATGGCAGGTGAGCTACAATGTGGCCAACCAGCCAAAGTTAAAACAGAAGCAAAAATCAGTGAGTCAGAAAGAGACAAGACGAGCCAGGCATTACAACTGCCTGGGGCCTGGGCTCCTGATGGATCCCAGGCCCAGCCACCTATACTTTGAAATAAATCTCCTTTTTCATGAAGTGACTTGAGTGGATTTCTGTTCCTTGCCACCAAGGTGTCCCAACTTCCACAGATCATGGGGCTGTACCCATTCATAATAATTGGATACACTGGCATTCAGGATTTAGAGATCAGTCTCTTGTGAGTTTTGTCAGTGTGAGTCAATATCCCTGAGTCTGACTGTATATGGGCCTGAGGAGATGAGGAATATTAGTTTTAGAATCAGAAAGATCTGGGTTGAGTCCCACCTCTGCCATTTGCTGTATGACAGTGGATAATTCACTTTCCTCCTTCAGCCTGGGTTCTTCACCTACAACACGAGGGCAGTCAGAGGACTTAGCCCAAAGAAATCGCTGTGAGAACTGGAATAGACCAACCAAGGGAGGGGCTTTAGACATGTTCACATGCCTTATTTGCATTTCCAACATCTAAACAGCTCAGAGACACCTGGGTGGCTCAGTCAGTCAAGCGTCTGATTGTTGGTTTCCGCTCACGTCAAGATCTCGCTATTCATGGGTTTAAGCCCTGCATCAGGCTCCATGCTGACAGTGTGGAGCCTGCCTGGGACTCTCTGTCTCCCTCTCTCTCTGCCCCTCCTCAGCTGGCACAAGCTCTCTTTCAAAATAAACTTAAAAACAAAAACAAAAAAAACCCAAACAGCTCTAAAACCTGAGAGTTATCCATAACTCATTTCACTGGAAAAACTGACCTGAACTGACACGAGGCTACTTACAGTCTTCTCTAACCCTTTTATTTTGAATATTTGCTGCAAAATATTTTTTTTTCTGAAGCCTAATATTTTATTTGTTTTTTCTTTTTTTTTTCTTTTTTTTTTTTATTTATATATGAAATTTATTGTCAAATTGGTTTCCGCAAAATATTTAAATGTTTGGTTACAGGACTCTGCTGAGTGTTACACATAATAGTGTATTCTTCCTAAAATGAGAAAAATTTCAAATTTTACAACTTTTCTGGTCCCATAGTTTCAGGGACCATGGACCTGTATATTCATGAAGGTCAAGATGAGAATCTAAAACTGGCCCGCGGTATATGGTACCAAGGTACCTCCCATCTTACGAGGACTCTGGCAGCCAGCCAGTCTCTACTAACTCTACCCCAGCCTTGCTGTGCCGCTTTCCCTGCAACTTTCTGAGGGGCTTTTCAAATTTGTATGCGGCTCACCCAGGCTGAGACCAGGGATACGTTCTGAGAAACCCAACAGGTTCCAGCCAACATAGAGCACCAGACAAAAAGCACACAACTTCGGGGGCTCCTGAGTGGCTCAGTCGGTTAAATGTCTAACTCTTTTTTTTTTTTTTTTAATTTTTTTTTTTTTAATGTTTTCATTTATTTTTGAGACAGAGAGAGACGGAGCATGAGCAGGGGAGGGGCAAAGAGAGAGGGAGACACAGAATCTGAAGCAGGCTCCAGGTTCTGAGCCATCAGCACAGAGCCTGACGCGGGGCTCAAACTCACGGACCGTGAGATCATGACCTGAGCCAAAGTCAGACGCTCAACCCACTAAGCTACCCAGGCGCCCAGTAAACGTCTAACTCTTGATTTCAGCTCAGTTCATGATCCCAGGTTTGAGAGTTCAGGCCCCGCGTCAGGCTCTGTGCTGACAGCATGCCTGGAGCCTGCCTGGGATTCTCTCTTTTCCTCTCTCTCTGCCCCTCCCCTGCTCATGCACTCGCTCACGCTCTCTCAAAAATAAATAAGCATTTCAGAAAAAAAAGCACACAACTTCAAATACACAAAAAAGGCAATGAAAGTAAAGAGCTCAGCATCAAGCAGGAGCACAAAGCCCAGGTTCCACTAGGTTTAGAATTGTGTATTGATGATCGTGGAAAAGGAACCGTCCCCATAATTACGATACAAACTATAAAACACAGACTTCAAGAAAGTGGCAGCAGGGTCCAAGAAGGCAGGTGGCTTTCATTCAGCCAGTGTTCACGACACAGCAGCACATACAGCCAGACGCTTTGTGGTGTCAGCGTCCTCCGCTTCCCCTTCAAGAAGTCGCTTTCGACTCGTGGAAGGCTGGAAATAAAAAGGGAAGAATGTTCAAAGAGAACTGTCGGCTTTAAGATTATCAAAGTGTCCCACTAATGCTTCTGGTAAGTTTGGAGCATTTCATGTGCAACTTCTAGTACCAAGAATTAGGAGTCGTCCCCCTGGACACCTGAGTCCCCACCATGCCTCCCTGGACTCAGACATGCTTATCAAATGGACATTTCTCTCTCCCTTGTGGCTTGTGAGCACTTGATGTAATACTGACATTAAGCAGCATAACCGCCCTCCCTCCTCTCTGTCATCTTCTCCTAAATTATGAAGTTTAAAGGGACTACAATACCTCTTGCTGGGAGCCCCAAATCTTGCTCTTTTTGGGGAAGACCATCTTTTTTGTGTCTTTATTTTTTATTTTTTATTTTGTGTGTCTTTATTTTCCCATTGATAAAATACCCAGGGGACATTAGGAAGGGGAATGTTATTCACCAAGAGAAGGCAGGATAGTAATGAATAGATATTGAAGTATACTAACAACTTTGGGGGAAATAAAATTGTAACCAATAAATAATCAACCACTCACCCAGATTTTAAATTTTCAACAAGTTTAAATTTGAACTCCTACTAGAGTCTTCCAATTCTGCCTTGCAGGAGACCTCTTGAATGACAATCCCTAGCTGTGCTTGTTTAATGCATTAAACACACTCTTCATTATTAAATCTTCTAAGGGTGCTAGGGCCAATCAAGTGGAAACAAAATATCTACGACGTTATTCCAAAAAATATTAAGCAATTGCTACTAAGGAGACCTTTCAAGCTCCTCACCCTTGCTCGTTAGTTCTTTAAAACTGAGGCTACTACATTTAATGACCATCATCCGAAATACCTGGGCTGGGACTTGGGGTACAGTCGTCGACTTATTTTCTTCAAAAAGCAAATTCTGAAATTTTCTCTTCATGTCCTCATCCTGTGAAGAAATGAAAAAACCTAAGTGGGCTGTGTCTGAAAGAACGAAAGTTCCTAGGAAGACAGGTCTAGGATGCCCCTGGAAAGAGGACAGTGGGTGAGGACACCCAGTCAGTCCACCAAAAGGCATGCTCTTGCTAAGGCTCCAGCAGGGAAAGGACCACGCGCTCCTCTCCTCTGCCTTCCCAGAGGAATCTAATCAGCAGTCAATGCTTAGTCAACACTGGCTGAATCAAACCCACAGGCCTCAGCTGTCAGGAGTGCAGAGACAACCACAGACATTAGCAGTCAAGAGACTTTCAGGACTAACATCCCAGATCCTGAGAGATGGCCATCGAGAAGCCAGAGGCTGGGACTAGCTCAGTTCCCTGAGGGCTGACTCCCTGCAGCAAGCCAAATCTTTCCAGGAGGTGCCCACTCCCTGTGCCAACAATAAGGTCATTTACTAGGGCCACCCTAACCAAGCAACCCAGCACCCCAGAAAAATTCTCCCAGCATGTGCTACACAAGTCACCAGAAGGACTTCAAGCCCACAATATCCCAGAGCTAATGAGAAAGGAAGACAGATGAATAGGTCATACATAGCATTACAGGGGTTTTGTGCTGCTAGACGGAGAAGCAGGGAGAGGGGTGCATGCGCACACACAGAAATCCTGCCCACATGTCTGTGAGGGTAATTCCCACCTCCAGGAATGTTCACTTCCGCAAGGCTCAAGGATTTGCATCTGGGAACCCTGAAAGGTAACCAGGCACAGCTCTCCCCACCTTCAGAAAGGTGAACATCCAGGACTAGGATGGGGCCAGCTAGAAGCCTGGCTCAGCCACTAACAAGGAGTGTGCGTGCGCACAATATGGACCCACAGCTGCCTGATTCCGAAGTCCCATGATTCCCACTCCCCGCACTGAGCCAAGAGCAACACAGGGTGGAGGTAGCGGGGAGCAGAGGACATAGGGGTGAAGGCCTCCAACATTCAGCAGTTCGAGGCGTATATAACTGCAGTGCTCGGGGATTAAGACACCTGTTGTGTAACGAGGAGCTGGATCACCCGCTTCGATCACACTGTTTTCTGCATCACTCCATGTAGCGCCCACTGCCCATTTTGAGAGCACCAGGTTCATCCGGATTCTGCTCTACAATCTCCCTTAGAATCTCACCTCCTATGTAATGCCACTCTCAAAATTCCTTCCCTTATTTCCTCCTATACCTGCTCACAGCCTCCACCAGCAATGCCCTCCTTGCCTTCCTGCCCATCCACCTCAACCACCTTCTCATTTACTCAGTGAACAAATACTTTGTGAGCAACCTTAGGAGCCAGGTACCATAAAAGTCACAGGTGCCTCCATGTCAGAGGGACAAAACCAACACTGAAAATGCTGCTCCCCATTGTTATGGACTAAGATATGTCCACCTCCACCCCCTTAGTTCATATGTGAAAGCCCTAACCCCCCAGTGACTATTTGGAGGCAGGGCCTTTAAAGAGGTAATTAAGTTAAAATAAGGCTGTTAGGGTGGGGCCGCAATCCAATACAACGGATGTCCTCATTAGAAGAGAAAGAGACACCAGGGATGTGAGCACAGAGAAAAGACCATGTGAGGACAGAGAGAAGACAGCCATCTGCACGGCAAGGAGAAAGGCTTCAGGAGAAACCGAATCTGCCAACATCTTGAAACTGGGACTTCTAGCCCCTTGAAAGGGGAGGATATGAATTCCTGCCATGTAAGCCACCCAGCCTGTGCTATTTTGTTATAGCAGCCTCAGCAAACTGATACAGCCATGTCATCCCCAGGCCACTGATTTAGATGCTCTTCATATTGTGTGAACCTGTGAGCACCTGAAGCCCCTATCTCATTCTGAGCATCCTCCCATACTCTGCACCTACCCTTGTTACCACGTGTATCCCACTGCTCGCCTGTGACTGTGGTCGGGGTTGGCCCCCACCCAGACCATCAGCTCCGCAAGTCCAGGACTTAACTTACTCTTCTCTGCATCCCCAGTAAGTGTTGACACATGAACTCATTAACTGTCCTCTGAAAGAATGAACGCATGAGGAAATGAAACCACACCCCATGCCCCAAATGGCAACTCTTCAGTACAGCCAAACAGAACTGACCACACGCCTATTTGGGCCTGTATTTAAACAAGTCGTCAGTTAGCAATAACATGGAAAAGGAGCTCATTAAATACGGCAGGTAGCAATGGGTATCTGAAAATTGCCTTCCTTTCAGAGCTTTACAACCTATTCAAAAATATTAAACTGTAATATGCCTCAAAGACAAGTAGGAAGGAATTCTCTATTTCAAGAAGTAAATATGAGGCCAAAAAGTCGACATAAAGGATGTTCCCCAAACTGAACTGTTAATAACAGGAGAGACTGGAACTCACATTCCAAACACTCCATCCAGGGCCAGACCCACAAAACCATTTGGCTTCTTCAAAAATACTGGATTTTCCCAAAATAAAACCTAAACTATCACTAGCAGATGATTTATGTGGGCAGCGTCTGCACTCTGGTCCTCACTCTGTGTCCAGTTCCACCGTTTGCAGCAAAAACACAATGTGGAGTATTCAAGTGAGACCCCCATGGCAGGGCTGAACTTCACCTTTTCCTCAGTTGTTAGTAACAGTTTTCTTTGGAGACAAACAGAACAAGAAAAACAGGCTATGCTCCTTCGTAAATTTCAGGCAGCTACAGACCCTGTTCCCTGACCTAACCGGCAAGCTCTGTTTTTTTCAAGATTAACACAGCTCCTCCACCTCCACATCTGGCCCCAAGAGTTTCCCTATTAGGGCACATAAAAAGAGCCAAGAGGCATGTTTTTCTTTTTCACCAAAATTAAATCCCCACATGCAAAGGCACCCTTTGTTTCCAAATTCCTTTTCTCCAGGGTCCTGCTGTTTCAAATCTGTGTGGTCTATTAAGTGCTAAATCATCTGACAGATTTCTTGGGGGCGGAGGGAGACTGCTGTTTCCAGGGCAATAGCCCAAACAAATGTATCTACTTTTTTTTTTTTTTCTTTTAAGGATTTGTTGTTCTCCACCTGAGCTAGCGCGGGAGCAACATAAGGATTTGTTGTTCTCCACCTGAGCTAGCGCGGGAGCAACACCTTAGGTGTGGAGGGCTGGAACAGAGAAAGAATAGAGGCAGTCTTCCCAGAGTTCCAGAAGCAGAGTTCTGAGAATGAATGGCCCCAAGGAGTTCCTGGACCAGGTGATCCCCACAGTACTTGAGCCTCTAGCTCAAGCTAGCTGGTTAAGTTCCTCATCCCCATAGGAAACAGACCAACTAGAAGTTAACAAGAATTGGTATGTCTGTGCTTGAATGGAACCGTACTTAACAGAAGGTCTGACATCCATCAGAAAACCTGCCCAACCATGCTGGAGCTAATTCTAAAACCAAAGTTTAGTCCAGCAAAGCCACAAAGGACTTCCAAGTCTGGCAGCTACAATGAGGTCAGGATATAATCTAACAGCAGCCACAAACCCCTAGAGGGGCACATAGGTAATACAGACTTCAAAGATCCAGGTAACTTTGCAGTAATGGCATGTTTATTCGCCATGAATAAGAAGCGGGACCCTTAGTGGCACCTGGGTGGCTCAGTCTATTGAGCGTCTGACTCTTGATTTCGGCTCAGGTCATGATCTCATAGTCATGAGATCGAGCCCCACGTCAGGCTCATGTGCCCGTGAGCCTGCTTAAGATGCTCCTTCTGGTCCTGCCCCCCACCCCCCAAAAAAGAAGCGAGACCCTGTATGCCCAATTACTTAGGCTTAAACAAATAGCCAGATTCTCCCCCAGAGAATCTGCCCTCCTCCTCCCGTGACTTAAGGTTGAAGGCAGCTGGAATGCAGCCAACCCCACCTGTTCAGGGTGAGAGATTTGAGGAAAGAGGATGACACAGCTGGGGGTGGAGGTTTACAGCTGGAACAACCTCTCAAAGTACCACAGCCAAAATGCACACTCAGGGAACCCGAGTGGGCCTAGGACAGGCCATAAAGTGAGCCTGTCTACCCCAGGAGCCACAAGTTAAGTTGGGACGGTTATACCCAAAGATACACTTATACTCACGACCCATATACACACATAAACATACCCGACACACTTAAAGCTCAATCTCAAGCAAGTGCATTAAACAGACTCAACAAAGCAAACGTGTTTGCAACTTTTTCCTCATCCCTCAGGCACAGCTGAGAGCTGCCCATAGAGTTCATGCTAGCGAGCACTGCCCCATACCCACCTGAAGCCATGGGTGTCTTAAAGCCTCCTCTGTCGTAAAACGCACCTTTGGATCCACTATTAGCAGCTTCTTGACAAGGTCCAGAGCTAAAGCAATAAGATAATTTATCACATCACAGTGAAAACAGTAGATACATTAAATCCGCAAAATGAAAGTATGCCAGAATCACAGGCCAACATCCAGAAAGACAGAGGGGGGCTAAGGTCATTGCCAGCCAACAGGTGTGATGGACAGGGTCCCCTGTCCTCCTCTCTGTATTTAGAGCTCTCTGAGAAAACCAGGAATGACCTCGATGCCCCCCATCTCTCCCTGCTTGCACATCACAACCTCTTCGCCCCCTGTTCCCTCGCTCGTTGCTGGATTCAACTTCAAACTAATTAAATCTGAACTTGTGCCTCGTTCTAAGACGCTCAGGATGCTCGGCCAACTCTCCCGAGACCCATGGAATGATAGAGTTTCTCAGCCAGCAACAGGCTCCCTGGAACTGGAGGTTTGGCAGAAACAAAGCTTAACAGCAATCACCATGCTGAGACTGCCTTTCTACTGCAACAGTATTATTCCTTTCACATTCTAAGATTTAACAGAATCACCTATGTTACTTCACATTTAGTTTTAGTTTTCTACTTGCCCTTTTGAGAATTACAAAGTTACACTTTTACATCCTAAAACGCAAAGTAATTACTTTTGTTCTTACATGCTCATTCACAGGAGACTTTGTAACTGAAAAGTTACTTATTATTTTGTACCCTTAATAGGTACAGGGCACTTGCTTCTGTTCCACTTGCCCTCACAAAAACCCCTTAAGGTAAAGTTTATTGTACCTGCTTTACATATAAAGGAAAGGGTGACTCAGAGAGGTTACGTATCTTGCCTCAGGTCACATAGCTAGGAAGTAGCCAACCCAAAACAGGAGTCTCACTTAGCCTGGTTGAGGAGCCCATGTTCTTAATAACTTCCTCTGCCCCTCAAAAGGTGCAAAACAAACAATAGAAAATAAGTAACAGGAGAAACATAACAACTTGAAAAGAAATTCCCACCACGGCACACACATTTTACCAAACGACAAATTCTTAACCTTTTCATATCCATACCCTTCTCTGAGACCTCTGCCCAGACTTCGGGAATGAAGTTGAATTTTCCACTGGTGATCTGATCCTTCAAGGACACTTGAGTCTTATGCTCAGAGAAAGGTGGATACCCACTAAGGCTTAACATCGGTAGAGAAAGAAAGGAAAAGAAATCAAGTAGCATTCTCAGTGGCATTTGGACATATAGATTAGATTTTTCTTTAAATCAACGGTCAAGATAAGTCACCCAGATTAAACACAAGCTCTCTACCTGGGCACGTTTCTGTTTTCACCTAACTACTTCCAACCAGACTCTGAAGCAATGAAACTTTTCTTACCAAATAAAAAGAATAACTCCTAAACTCCAGCAATCCACAGCTCGGTTATATCCAGCAGTCCCAAAGGAATTAAGAACCTCAGGAGCCAGGTAGGTAGGGGTACCACATAAGGTTCTCATGAGAGAGGTCTCCCCCAAAATCTTAGACTGCCCAAAATCAGTAATCTAAAATTAAGGACAAAGCGGAATCATTTTTAATGGCAAAATAAAATTAAACGATCAGCATAGTCTGCCAGTCCCAAAAGCTATGCAGGCTAGATCAGTTCCTATCCTATACAGTCCATGCCTGCTGTTAAAATCTGGAATTTTGTTTAAACTAAAATTTCCAAGCGAAGAAAGCTGAAGGTTTTTTCTCCAACTTATCTGTGGTTCTCTGTAACCTTACAAGAGGTTTGTAACCCTTATCATAGACTCTAGGGTCCTAATCAGTTATCCATGGTTTCTTTTAGGCTCTGGTTTCTCAACCAATATCCCAACACTGGAATAACTGAGGAGCTTGGAAAAAATACTTGGCACCCGGATGCCACCTTCAGTGATTGTGAGATGCAGTGTGGGTGTCGTGATTTTTATTTATTTATTTATTTTTAATAATAGGAGATTCTATAGGCAGCCAGGCTTGGGAAGCACCACCTTAGAAAGCAGGAGAAGATAAGGGATGTGATTCTCATCCATCTAGACCCCTCCTTCCATTCTCAGAACAAAAGTGGCTCGTATAAAGAGGAGCTCAGTAAATGCCCATAAGACTCTGAATCAAAGCAATACCACCTGGTCTCTAAAATAATTGCTAATAGTGGAAGGGTCAAGTTCTCTACCTTTTTATGCTCCCACTTTTTACTTCATGAATTTTTAAAGTTTATGAATAGAAATTTGGGGTGGCCACAGAAAGAGTTTTCTTACCTTTATAAGACAGTCCTCTTTTTGGGATGAGAGTAAAACATTCTCTGGCTTTAAGTCCCGATGTATAATGCCGTTTTCATGAAGGTACTACACAGAAAAGGAGGCATGACCCTCAGGTTTATGAAGTAGGTATGTGAGTAAAGACAGACAGACAGACAAGACACACACACACACACACACACACACCCCTTACAGCTGGGATGAAACCATAAGCCAGGTTACTCACAACCACATTACCCCAAATCACAGAAAACTACTGGGTAAAGGGCTTAGTGTTTATAAATTTGTTTTCAAGAAAATCTTTAGGGGCACCTGGCTGGCTCAGGCAGTAGATCTTGCAACTCTTGATCTCAGGGTTGTCAGTTTGAGCCCCACATTAGGGGTGGAGATTACTTAAAAAGAAAATCTTAAAAAAAAAAAGAAAAGAAAATCTTTAAAACGTAGGAAAAATGATATTTGCAACTATGTGGATGGAACCACAGGGTATTATGCTAAGCGAAATTAGAGAAAGACAAATATCATATGACTTCACTCATATGAGGAATTTAAGATACATACAGAATAACGGAAAGGAAGCAAAAATAATATAAAAACAGGGAGGGGGACAAAACATGAGACTCATAAATATGGAGAACAAACAGAGGGTTACTGGAGGGGGTTTGGGGGGGGATGAGCTAAATGGGTAAAGGGCATTAAGGAATCTACTCCTGAAATCATTGTTGCACTATATGCTAATTTGGATGTAAATTTAAAAAGATTTAAAAAGTAGGAAAGATGAAAAATGCAACTTATGACAATAGACCGTTCATTTCACTCTTCAAAATAATATCCCTTCATATAGGCAAAAATCTAAGGTGTCAATTTCATTTATAAAAATGTAAATGAGTGATTAAAGGATTTTGAGAATTTATTAAAGTAAAGCATAAAAATTCCACCAAAATTATGTACTTGGTCATTCACTTCCTGAGAATTAAAAAAAAAAAAATTTTAATGCTAATTTATTTCTAAGAGAGGGAGAGAGACAGAGCGTGAGTGCAGGAGGGGCAGGGAAAGAGGGAGACCCAGAATCCAAAGCAGGCTCCAGGTTCTGAGCTGTCAGCACAGAGCCCAAAACCGGCTCTCACGAGTTGTGAGAACTCACGAACTGTGAAATCATGACCTGAGCGGAAGTGGAAAAAGTTCAACTGACTGAGCCACAGAGGCGCCCAGATCTCACGTTTTGTGAGACAGCCCTGTGTCAGGCTCTGTGCTGACAGAGTGGAGCCTGCTTGGGATTCTCTCTCCTTCTCTCTCTCTCTCTGCCCCTCCCCCACATGTATGCTGGCTCACGCTCCCTCTCTCTCTCAAAATAAATAAATAAACTTAAAAAAAAAAAAAAAAAGAACTGAGGGCTTCTCTTACCTGTACGGCCAGGAGCATCTGGTAAAAATAGAGCTTGCACGTAGCTTCTTTCAGGCGTTTATTCCCCACCACCCTGTCAAACAGCTCTCCTCCTTCCATCCTGAAACAGACAGGCAAAGCAGGGGGTGGTTCTTGGGTGGAAGATAATAACACAAACAAAACAAACTCATTCAGACAGGCAAAGAGCTGCCCTTTTTATTTTCACGAGGACTCCCGTTTGTACAAACAATGAGGTAGTTAAGTCTCCTCTCCACAGTGAAGATGTCCTTGTTGGAAACTAAGGAACGGGGAAAGATGGAAGGAGTGGGCAGTGGGCACTCAGGAGCTTTTAAGAATCTGACTCAGCAGACGGGAGGCGGAGCCCAGGAGTCTGCGTTTTCATCATGCACCCCAGCTGATTCAGAGACTGAGACAGAGCGGCAAACTGGAGCCCGCAATCAGACAACGGGTGTCTGAACCCTAGCCCCACCATTCCTAGCTCTGGAGCTTTGGACAAGTTACACACCCTCTCTGAGCTTGTTTCTGCCTCTTAGAAAAATAGGGACAATCCTCCCCCTACCTTGATGGCTGTGGTAAAAATTAAGAGATAATTCATGGAGGTAAGGCGCCTGGCACAAGTGGCTGTTTGGCAGGGTTATTCAAGTCCTCTGAACTTCAGTTTCCTTTTCTGTAAAGTGGGACTAAAGACCGTAACCCATCAGTAACCTGTAAGTAACATGGATGACTGTTAATGAAGGGTACATGAGTCAATCCATGTAAAGTGCTTGGAGCAGTAACTGGCTCATAGTAAGTAATTAGCATCAGTGACTGTTACTGTATTACTTCTGTTTTAACTAGGTCCAGTCAGACAGCAACAGATATTCCCTCAAGCACCACAGGGGCCATCCAGTCTCTCCCAGTGCTATGATTGAGGCTGTTTACTATAAAAAAAAATTTTTTTTTAAGTTTATAGTTTCTCCTTCCCTGAATGCTTTTTTTTTTTTTTTTTTTTTTTTTAATTTTCATCCAAATTAGTTAGCATATAGTGCAACAATGATTTCGGGAGTAGATTCCTTAGTAGTAGAATCCCTTACCCATTTAGCCCATTCGCCCTCCCCACAACCCCTCCCGTAACCCTCAGTTTGTTCTCCATATTGATGAGTCTCTTATGTTTTGTCCCCCTCCCTGTTTTTATATTATTTTTGTTTCCCTTCTCTTATGTTCCTCTGTTTTTGTCTCTTAAAGTCCTCATATGAGTGAAGTCATGATTTTTGTCTTTCTCTGACTGACTAATTTCACTTAGCATAATACCTCCAGTTTCCATCCACGTAGTTGCAAATGGCAAGATTTCATTCTTTTTGATTCCGAGTAATACTCCATTGTATATGTATACCACATCTTCTTTATCCATTCATCCATCGAGGGACATTTGGGCTCTTTCCATACTTTGGCTATTGTTGATAATGCTACTATAAGCATTGGGGTGCATGTGTCCCTTCGAAACAGCACACCTGTATCCCTTGGATAAATACCTAGTAGTGCAACTGCTGGGTCGTAGGGTAGTTCTGTTTTTAGTTTTTTGAGGAACCTCCATACTGTTTTCCAGAGTGGCTGCACCAGCTTGCATTGCCATGTTTACTATAAAATCTTACTAACCAACCTCCTTAGCCACTGGATACCACTCAGGAGCAAAGCCTTGCCTGTCTGCTCCAACAGCCACTCCCAGAAACACTACATATTTACATAGAAATGAACATCAAGACAGGCCCCTTCCATGAATGAGCCAGGAAATTATTCTGGTCACACCACAGAAGACAAGACTTTGTGGTTACTGAAATAACCCAGCAAGTAAACCAGCACTGAAAAGATAATGAAGTGTCACCATGCCCCTAAGCACTGTGATCCCAAGCAGAAACACCCACCCAGGCAGATATTTCAGAGTAGTAACATCCACCTGTGGTTGAACAACTGTGTGTGCCAGGTACTCTGCTGGGCACTTTCCATCCTTCATAGTATCTGATCCTTATGACTCTATATATGGGGAGTATGACTATTAGCACCCCACCCCCACCAACACTAGGAAAATAAATAAGAGTCAAGGACATGAAGTAAACTAACTCACAAGCAGTCACCTGCACAGCGGAATTCAAACCCAGACCTCAGACCCAGGGCCTGGAACCTCTAAGCCACATGCCTTTGGAAACATTGGGAGGACTTTAGATTTAGTACTAACCCCACATGCACACTTGGTGGGCCCCACCACCACATACATATGATGAGAGTCCCCAGGATGAGAAATGCAAGCCAGCATTGGATTTTTTGGTGGTTTATAAGCACTTGAATGGAAACAAATAGAAAACTTTATTACTTACAATTCCAAAACAATATAATAATCTTCAGCCTCAAAAAAGTCTTTAATCTTGATGATACAAGGCTAAGAGGGGAAAAAAGAGGAAATGTAGTGAGAAACTCCCAAGAGGAAAACCACAGAAGCAGAATGGAGGCATTTGCCCCCCTGCCTCAAGGCACTCTAAAGTTCATATAGCAGAAAAGGCAAAACAGCCTGTCAGCACAGAGCCAGATGCAGGGTTCAAACTCACAAACCCATGAGATTATGACCTGAGCCGAAATCAAGAGTCAGACGCTTAATCAAATGAGCCACCCAGGCACCCCTAATATTATGATTTTATACTTAGAAAGCACACCTATTGGTTTTACAATGTGAAGATAGACAGTAGAGTTGAGTGGTCTGGGTAAGTAAAAAATGTAGTAAGTATCTCTCAGGGACATACCCCACCCCAAGCAGAGAGGAGGCTTGTAGTTATTATCAAAATTAAAGGGAAGGGACGCCTGAGTGGCTCAGTGGGTTAAGGGTCCGACTTCAGCTCAGGTCATGATCTCGTGGCTTGTGAGTTCAAGCCCTGCGTCAGGCTCTGTGCTCACAGCTCAGAGCCTGGAGCCTGCTTTGGATTCTGTGTCTCCCCCTCTCTCCGCCCCTCTCCTGCTCACGTTCTATCAAAAATGAACAAACGTTAAAAAAAATAAAAAATAAAGGGAAGAGAGTTACACGATTTTTAGATTTTAGAGTAAGAAGAGTAGCAAAACTCACCAGAGTGACTGTCCTACAAAGCAAATTTCATCACATCCAATGCTCTCATTAAAATCCTCCTTAGTGGTACAGGGCACCTGACTGGCTAAGTCTGTTAAGCATCCAACTGTTGATTTCAGCTCATGGTTCATGGGATTGAGCCCTGCATCTGGCTCTGTGCTGATAGCGTGCAGTCTGCTTAAGATTCTCTCTCTCCCTCTCTCTCTGCCCCTCCCCTGCTTGCTCACTCTCTCTTAAAAGAAATAAATAAACTTTAAAATCCTTCAAGTCGTAGCTTCCCATAATGAACTGTTGAACAGCAGTGAAGGGATGCCCCACTGCCTCCCCAGCACAATGGATCCTGGAAACATAATGCCGAGTGGAAGAGGCAAGTCACAAAAGACTTCAGAGTGTATGGAGTAGCTTCAATTGCATGGTCAGGTTTTCATTCTTTTTTATTATTATTATTTTTGAAAGAAAGAGGAAGTGCAAGTGGGGGGGGGGGCGCAGAAAGAGAAGGAGAGAATCCCAAGCAGGCTCTGCACTGCCAGCTAAGAGCCCAGTATGGGGCTCGAAGCCACGACAATGAGATCATGACCTGAGCCAAAATGAAGAGTTGGACATTTAACCAACTGAGCCACCCAGGCACCCCCTCAAGTTTTCATTCTTAAGTTGAATGGTTAGTTCTTAGGTGTTCATTTCATTGCTTTGCTTCATAATTTATTGTTTTACATGTGCCAAATGTTACATAATTTAAACATATTTAAAGGAAGGAAAGGAGACCAATCAGGAGGGAGAGATGGAAGGAAATAGAAGAAAGACAGAAAGTAAGACAAGAGGAAAGCAAACCTTCGGAAACCTAACTTTTCAGCAGGAATTAGCAAACCCTGGAGACCCAGCCTTGTCCTGCCCCTACCCCCCCAACCATGGCCAAATCTCCTGCTCCTGGTCCCATGCATCCTCCTGTCCAGACCACAAAACACCCTGCCTGCCCCAGACTTGCTGTGTTCTTTCCCAACGTCACACCTCTGCTTGCTGCCCTCCTGCCTGGTGATCCAGCCCTCTGGGCACACCTGGTCTCCAGCATCAGGCCCCAGCTCGAATGTCACCCTCGGGATGCATCCGCAGTCCCCTGTGTTGGTTCTCATCCATGTGGCCTCATGCTGCATCTTCAACATTTGTCTCCCCATCAGACTGCGACCTCCAGGAGGGCAGAAAAGGGAAACTAACACCCACCACGGGTCTCCGTTCATCAGGCGCTTGACAGGCTGAGTCAAGTCTTATTTCTCTTTCTAGAACCAACACTCAGCAGAGCAGCTGGCACACAGGAGACATTCATGTGCTGCACAGATTAACGAGAACAATGGCAGTAACAGAAACACCACTGAAGGCAGACTCTACCAACACATGTTGGTCATGGCACACACACCATGAGAGTGAGGCTGAGAGCAAACCAGCTCTGCCACTCCTTACCTATGATCCCAGCACATTTGGCTCTGCGTGACCAGCTGTATTGCCACAAAAATGAAGACACTGGATACGCACTGTAATGTTATACTAAGAGGAATGGAAAGGGGAACTAAGATTCTCATATGCTGTCACAGGAAGGCAACAGGCTATCTAAAATCGATAGGGATACCTGGGTGGCTCAGTCGGTTAAGAGTCCGACATCAGCTCAGGTCGTGATCTCACAGTTCGTGAGTTTGAGCCCTGCGTCAGGCTCCACACTGACAGTGCAAAGCCAGCTTGGGATTCTCTCTCCCTCCGTCTCCGCCCCTCCCCTACCTGTACACGCATGCGCTCTCGCTCTCTCTCTCAAAATAAGTTAATAAACTTAAAAAGAAGAATTTGATCATAAAAAAATAAGATTGATAAACCAAGAGATAGCAGTTTATGTATATTATGTAGAAATACGGAGATAAATTCATTCAAACAAAAAACAGATCCAAGAGTTTTAAAATGTTTGTGGGGGGGGCGTGGGGGCTACAGACCTACAGTCTGTGTATGAACCTTTGAGCAATATTTGACTCTCTAGATCATATGCATGTGATATCCTGATATAATAAAGCAGAAGCAGAAGAAAAGGCACACATGGAAAAGGAACAGAAATTGAGAGGAACAGATGAGAGCTGCTTGGTTCTGCCTGGCATCATCAGGCCAGCGCCCACCTGGGAATGGACTGGTCTGGGAGCTGGCAGAGCACGAGGAGGTGCCCAACAGTCAGAGCCTGCAGGACTGCATCCTCTAAGGTACCACCATCTCTAGGGTCATTCGTTGGCTGGAGTGTCGCGGCTGAAGGTGTCTCTCATGAACCAGAGGCTACTACCCTAAACCTTCCAGTTAGATCACACAGGGAAAAGTTTAGGGAATGGCAGTGATTTCTCCAGACCGCAAAACATTCCCCCAAGCGTGTTCTCCATGCGGAAAGCTTGACAAGCACATCTCATCGAATTCCTACACTGACCTTTAAGGTATGTATCCATATTGTCTCCACTGCAGAGATAAGGAAACAGGGGCGCTGAAAAATGAAATGACCTTCTCAGAGCCAGGAGGTAAGAGAGATGGGAGTGGGAACCCTGGTCTGTCTCCCCACTAGGCTGAAACCAGAGGAGGGGAGGGATGGCCAAGTCCATTTGTGCTCACCACCCCCGGGCCTAGAAGGCAGGCTGGCACAGTAAGTGTTTAACAACAGACTGAATCAATGCCTGGCTCCAAACGCCAGGCTCTACTCATTATCCCCCAAATGCACTCATGAGCCTGTGTTTCATTTCCAAGAGCTTTCCACATGCCCTTGTAAATTGCCAAGAAATTCTCTCCAGAGATCTTTTTTGAGGGTTCTCAATTCTTCTCGACTGCAGTGGACATTGGATTTGTATAAATGTTATGTTTGGGGATCCTCTGACATCAGAAAAAACTCTCTGAGGATTCTGTTTATCTTAGGGGTATGTTTGAAGCAACCCCACCCCAGAAAATTAGAGGGCTCCTCTCTTTAACAAGAGATTCCAGATCCCTTGGGGTGGGGGGGAGGCTAATTCAGGGGGCACCTGGGTGTCTCAGTCAATGAGTGTCCAACTTCAGCTTAGGTCATGATCTCATGGTTCATGGGTTCAGTCCCACATTGGGCTCTCTGCTGTCAGCACAGAGCCTGCTTTTCTCACTTCTTAAAAGACAGACTCAATGGTGCACGCCTGGGTGGCTCAGTTGGTTAAATGTCTGACTTTGGCTCAGGTCATGATCTCATGGTTCGTGGTTTCAAGCCCCACATCCGGCTCTGTGCTGACAGCTCAGAGCCTGGAGCCTGCTTTGGATTCTGTGTCTCCCTCTCTCTGCCCCTACTATGCTCATGCTCTGTCTCTCTCTCTGTCTCTCAAAAATAAATAAACATTCAAAAAAAAAAAAAGACAGACTCACTTTCCAGTGAGACAAGGCACAAAAACGATAGCAACTATTCACACCCACCAAGGTAAATGGAAATCAGTACCACCAAAAGTATTTAGAGGTATTGAGAACAGGTATAATTAAGCCAAATTTACCAAATTGGCACTGTCTTCCCATAAACAATATGAGATAAAATATTAGGGAAATTTACCACGCATTTTGGTCAAAAACTCACTCAGTGGAAATATCACAGTTATTTAATCATGAAATCTTTATACAGTATTGTCCTCTCAAAATTTCAGAGCAAAGCTTTTCCCATCTACATTATAGCTAAACACATACACCCATACATGTGTACCCACACATGTATACACGTACACACACACACACACACACACACACACACACACACATTTAAGGAATGCAAGTTAATACTAGCTTGATTACACTGAAATACTTTATACAACTCCCATATTTTGAGAGGAAAGAATGTAAGTAAGTCTGGGTCAGATTTTACAGCAATACTTACATGATTTAGTTTTTTCAAAATTTCTATTTCTGTTTCAACATTGAGAGCCGGATCCTTTGATAAAAAAATAACATTCAAGTTTATTAATAATAATAATAGTCAACACTTGGAAAATGCTTAAAGCTTAGTTGAGTAAAAGCTGTCTGAGTTCCACACTTAGCGCCTACTCATCAAGGATTAGAGGTCGATCAATTAAATAACTCCCCTAAAAATCACTCTGCAAAGTGCTTGGCAAATAGTAAGCATTCAGTAAACGACCAGCCCTATGCCAACCTCTTTATTTAAGAGTCATCTTGGGGGGCGCCTGGGTGGCTCAGTCAGATAAGCATCAGACTCTTGATTTTGGCTCAGGTCATGATCTCATGGTTTGTGAGTTTGAGCCTCACATCGGGCTCTCTACACTGACCCTGCAGAGCCTGCTTGGGATTTTCTCTCTCTCCCTCTCTCTCTTTCTCTCTCCCCTTCTCTCTCCCCTCCCCTTCTCATGCTCTCTCAAAAAAAAAACAAACAAAAAAGTGAACTTAAAAAAATATTTAAAAAAAGAAAAAGAGGGGCGCCTGGGTGGCGCAGTCGGTTAAGCGTCCGACTTCAGCCAGGTTACGATCTCGCGGTCCGGGAGTTCGAGCCCCGCGTCAGGCTCTGGGCTGATGGCTCAGAGCCTGGAGCCTGTTTCCGATTCTGTGTCTCCCTCTCTCTCTGCCTCTCCCCCGTTCATGCTCTGTCTCTCTCTGTCCCAAAAATAAATAAACGTTGAAAATTAAAAAATAAATAAATAAATAAATAAAAGAAAAAAGAAAAAAAGAAAAAGAATCATTTTACTTAATAAGTCTCAAAATCCCAAAGTGAACTGGGTTCTAGAATTATCCCCAGTTCACAGAGGCTCAGAGAAAGGAAGCCACTTGCTCCAGTTCTCACAGCCAGAAACAAGTGTGTTTCCACTGTTCTCATGCTTACCTGGTAAGTTCTGTCTCTGTCTCTCTTTTTTTTAAGTTTTTATTGAAATTCCAGTTAGCTAACATACAATGTAATATTAGTTGTAAGCTCTCTCTGGCTGTACAATTGTTTATACTCATAAAAGTGATACAACAAATAAACACCACAGACAAGAGGTATTTAATTAAATTACATAAGGAAAATGTCAAGCCACATTTCTAATAATAGAGCAGACACAGTTTCCAATTTACTGCAGGCTAACATATTTAGTGAGACACCAATGAGAGGAAGCATCAGGGGACTGAAGTTGCTCTCTGTTCCAATTCCAAAAGGATGAATCGAGTTACTCAGCCTCAAGGGCTGCACCCTCCAAAGCAAAGAGGATATAGAATTACATATTTATGTAAAATGGACTTTGGCTAAGAAACCCAGATGTTTAATTTTAAAAGCCTGCCTCTTCCTGTAAGCTGTTAAACTCATTACCATGGCAGGACATACTCTGATGATAGAGAGGTCTAAAAGAGTCCAATCTGATTTGAAAGATGAAATTAAGAGGTAAAATTTTGCTCCAAGTCTTCAAGAATGGTAGGTATTTTCTTCCCCACCACACACCCCCAACAGGAAACAAATCCAGAATCACAGGGGAAAAAGATCTGTAACAAAGTGAACACAGAAAGGAAATTCCTCTTGCCATGTGAAAATGGCATTGTCTTAGGGGCAGAGGTGGGGCGGGGGGTGGGGGGGGATTGATCTTTAAAGAACATTGAAGTATAATGGCCAGAAACAGCTGGCCACAAAGGAAAATGTGATTAGAGACCTCATTTTACATTATTCTGTTGGGTCGTGTGTTGAAAGACCAATACATTTGACCATTTCACCAACACAGTAAATGTATATTACAGAATGCAATAAAATGAATGGCTACTATATAGAGACTGTTAAATAATTAGGATTTTTAAAAATCTATAGATGCTAAGGTATTCACTCCTTCATTATTGGGAAGAGCAAAGGATTAGAAATTACCTAAATGATCAAACAGAGAAATGGGTGAATAATTACAATAAAGTTCATGAAACAGAGGCTCAATCATCAAAAAAGCATCAATTAGGGGAAAGTTTATGCATTAATGCTTATGTGGAAAAGTAGAACACAAAACTGTATATACAGTATGACTTCAACCATCTAAAGATGCAAATTTGTATGAACAAGGACAAAAGGAAAAAGAAAACTGCAAACAGCTGTGGAGTTACAATGGTGGGATATATAGCCAGGTTGTTTTTTCCCCTCAATTTCCTTTTTTTTTTTAATGTTTATTTATTTATTTTTGAGAGAGAGAGAGAGAGAGAGAGAGAGCGAGCGAGCTTGAGGGAGAAAGAAAGAGAGAAAGAGAATGAGCAGGGGAGGGGCAGAGAGAGGGAAGAGAAAATCCCAAACAGGTTCTGTGCTCAGTGCAGAGCCCCACGTGGGGCTCGAACTCACGAACTGTAAGATCATGAGCTGAATTCAAGAGGAACACTCAAACAACTGAGCCACCCAGGCACCCCTCAATTTCCTTTCATGTACTGTAAAACTTGTAACAACTTGGGGGAGGAGGGGAGCACTTCTTGCTGGTACGTTATGTACAACAAAATATTTCTGGAACCAAACTACGGATAAGTAACTTTCTAGGTTAGTCGAATATACTCAAAATATTTCAATGCTGTTTAATGCAAATTCACGTATGTGAACAATGAATTCTTCCTAACACTGAAAATCACCACTCTAGGGGCACCTAGGTGGCTCAGTCGGTTAAGCATTTGACTTTGGCTCATGTCATGAGCTCACGGTTTTGTGCATTTGAGCCTGGCATTGGGCTCTGCACAGACAGTGCGAAGCCTGTTTGGGATTCTCTCTCTTTCCCTCTCTCTCTGCCCCTCCCCTGCTCACTCTCCCTCTTTCTCAAAATAAATAAATAAAAACTTAAAAAAAAGAAAAAACTCACCACTCTAAAAATTATTTGGGGAAGTTAAGAAGTGTTAAAAACAGCTGTGCAGGGAGCCTGGGTGGCTCAGTCGGTTAAGCGTCCAACTTCGGCTCAGATCATGATCTCATAGTTGGTGGGTTCAAGCCCCGCGTCGGGCTCTGTGCTGACAGCTCAGAGCCTGGAGCCTGCTTCAGATTCTGTGTCTCCCTCTTGCTCTGCCCCTATCCCAACTCATGCTCTGTTTCTCTCTATCTCAAAAATAAACATTAAAAAAAAAATAAATAGCTGAGCATGCACAAACACAGGTACTTACTGCCTCTCTCTCAGAGCCAACAGCAAACTTCCTTTTGCTGATGATTTTTATGGCTACTTTCTTACATGTTTTCCTCTCAAAAGCTAGCTTCACCTCACCACAGGCACCGCTACGGAGAGAAACATAAAATGATCAATTGTCAAAATGGTTCATCATTCCTGATCTGGGCTTATCTTTAGCCCTTATCAGTTTAGAAGTTAAGCGCTGTCCACATACAACCCTTCCATTGTCCCTGTTTTCAAACCACACAATGAAACTTAACCAATGTAAAATGTCAAGGGCATAAGTGAATGTGGACCATCCAATAGTACTGTGTCAGCTCCAAATTCCACTTTTTGAGCTGAGTGATACAGACTTAAGTATTATTGGCACCCCAGAATGTGAAATCCTCAGAAAGACACTAAGAACAAATAAGACAGAAATTACTTATCCTAGAGGCAGAGAAACATCACTGAGAACAAAGTCCTAAACAAAAATGAGTGCCTGACACAAGTTACAGCAGATAACTGTAACTGTAAATGAATTATTTTCATTGATATGCTCTTTCTTATTCAAAGTGCCATAGTTGATGCCATAAACTGCACCCTAAATAAAATCACAATAACTAACAACCAAAAGTATTATGCGATTAACTTAATTGCAGCAAACTCTTAAAGATTTGCAATTAATTGGGATACTATAATGGAAGAGGAATAATACCCAGGATACAGGTAACCCAATGGACTCTGTTCTCCAAAGCCTGGGTCAGCCCAAGGTAGTGGCTACTCAAGTATCAATCATTCATTACATGCCCCAAGCAGACTATAACTATTGTGAGTTTGGGGTGGGAAGGTAGATTTGTCAAGACACCCTTTTTATTGTGTATTGTATGTATACATAAAAATTACCACTGTTATCATTTTAAAATCTACAATTCAGTGGCATTAAGTACATCCACAATGTTGTGTAACCATCACCCCCATCTAGCTCCAGAATTTTTCATGAGATCAAATGCAAACTCCACCCCCATTCTATCCTTCTCCCAGCTGCTGGGAACCACTAATCTGCTTTCTCAATAGATTTGCCTATTCTGAATATCTCGTATCAATGAAATTACACAATATGTGGCCCTTTGTGTCTGGCTTCTCTCACTCATGTTTTCAAGGTTAGCCCGTGCTGTAGCATGGGTCAATATTTCATTCCTTTTTGTGGCTAAATAATATTCCATTGTATGGATATATCACATTTTGTTTACCTGTTTATTTGTGGATGGAGATTTGGGTTGTTTCCACTTTTTGGATACATGCTGTGAACATTCATGCATAAATTTTTACTTAAACACCTATTGTCAACTGGGAGACGGGAATTATATACCTACAAGGGGAATCACGGGTCATAGGGTAATTCTATGCTTAACTTGTTGAGAAACCAAGGAACTATTTTCCACAGTGGCTACATCATTTTACATTCCCACCAGTAGTATACAGGGAATCTCATTTCTCTACATCCTCACAAACACTTGCTACTTTCTGTTTCTTTATGATGGTAATCCTAGTGGCTGTGAAGCAGTAACCCTTGTGGTTTTGATTTGCATTTCCCTCATGATAAATGATGCGGAGCATCTTCTTATGTGGTTTTTGGTCATTTGTAGATCTTTGGAGAAGGCTATTTAAATCCTTTGCCCATTTGTAAAGTGGGTTGTTTTTGTTGTTGACTTATAAGAGTTCTTTTTGCTGAATACTAGATCCTTATCAGATAAATGATCTGCAAATATTTTCTCTCATTCCACGGGTTGTGTTTCACTCCCTTGATAGTGTCTTGATGCACTGAAGTTTTTAAATTTGATGAAGTCTAAATTATCTATTTTTCTTTCTTTTGTTGCTTGTGCTTCTGATGCCATAATTAAGAAACTACTGCCAGGGCACCTGGGTGGCTCAGTCAGTTAAGCGTCCGACTTCGACTCAGGTCATGACCTCACGATTGGTGAGTTCGGACCCCGCATCGGGCTCTGTGCTGACAGGCCAGAACCTGGAGACTGCTTTGGTGTCTGTATCTCCCTTTCTCTCTCTCTCTTTCTCAAAAATGAATAAACATTAAAAAAAAAAAAAAAAAAAAGAAAGAAAGAAAAGAAAAAAAAGAAAAGCAACAAACTTCAGCCAGGTCACGATCTCGCGGTCCGGGAGTTCGAGCCCCGCGTCAGGCTCTGGGCTGATGGCTCAGAGCCTGGAGCCTGTTTCCGATTCTGTGTCTCCCTCTCTCTCTGCCCCTCCCCCGTTCAGGCTCTGTCTCTCTCTGTCCCTAAAAAAAATAAATGAAAAAAAAAAAAAATTAAAAAAAAAAAAGAAAGAAAGAAAAGAAAAGAAACCAATGCCAAACCTAAGGTCCTGAAGAGTTACCTCTGTTTTCTTTTTACAGTTTTATAGCTGTATCTCTTACATTTAGTTTTTTTCCTTTTGAGTTAATTTTTCTATATGGTGTGAGAAAATGGTCCGTTTAATTATTATTGTTTAAAATCTGCTCAAAACACTTTCCAATTCCCCTTCTGATCAGTCACCTTTTGCCTGAGAAATCTTCCCTGAGTCAATATAGCTCTAATGGAGAGTCTGTAAGAGTACTATGGGATGACATGTAACCAAAATCGAGCCAATCAACGTTTCCCCTGGAATCAAATGTTGATGTTGGGGAAAAGTTCTCTCTGCAGTGGTTTCTACCAGGAAGAAGATATGAATGTGGGGCTTCTGGAAGCCATTCTTCCTGCCACACAGAGAAAACAAATCTATAGGAAGACAACCAGTAGTAGCTAAATCAATACATGGAACCAGTGCCCTGGCAACACTGGAGGAGCCCTTAAATCCAGCCACACATACAGCCACATAGAGCATCAGAATTCAAAGAGTGACATAAAGCCCTAAAGGCCACCTGGTCCAGTCATACCTGAAAACAGCTGTGCCCATGTATCTCCTGCTTACAAGAGCCAATAAATTTCTTTTTTTACCTGACTCAGGTGAGTTAAGTTTCTGTCCCCTGATAGAAGATTTGTGTTGAATCCTCCCTTAGAAAAAATAAGAGTCCCATGCATTTCTTAGGGGTGCGCACAAATTTGGCTATAAACTTCCAAGCACCAATGCAATTGTGAAAATACAGTGAGTTACTGAATTTAATATCCATAAACTAAAATATCTCCCACAGATGGCTGCAAAGAGTACACTGTGTTTGATTCTATGTGGCAGGAATATGGGTGATTATTTCCTTCTATTAACTTCTACTTTCATGTTTCCAAAAATGTCAATAGAGAGAAAGGCCTTTGGGAGAGGGGGAAGGGTGGGAGAGTGAAGAACATGGTACAATGTGGTAAAAGTGTCCCTAAGGATGTGGCTCTCAAAGTAGGATTAGGCAACCACTAAGGAACCCCAAGATGCTTTCAGGGTGTCCACAAAGTCAAACTATTTGCAGAGTAACACTAAGACATCATATGCCTTTTTCATCCTCATTCTCTCATGAGGATACGGCGTTTTCCAGAGGCTATGTGGCATGTGACAACAGACTGAACAAGGACGCAAATATCAGGATCTAGCCATTTTCTAGTAAGCCAGATAGCAAAGAGATAGGCAAAAATGTGAAACAGCGCCTCTCTTCTCACTAATCTTTAGTTAAACAATTATTCTGCATTAAAAACATTATTTGGGGGCACCTGGGTGGCTTAGTCACTGAAGCATCCAACTTTGGCTCAGGTCATGATATCGCAGTTCATGAATCCGAGTCCCACGTCTGGCTCTGTGCTGACAGCTCAGAGCCTGCAGCCGGCCTGCTTCTGATTCTGTGTCTCCGGCTCTCTGCCCCTCCCCCACTCGTGCTCTGTCTCTGTCTCTCTCCCTCTCTCTCAAAAAAATAAACATTTAAAAATTTTAAAACACAGTTATCTTAACCTAAATTGGGTTCTTTAATGCATTAACAAATATTATAAATGTCTCCATTTGAATTTCTAATATAGCAAATATCAACAGATATCAGCCACAAAAGCTCTTGGATGCCCTCAGTAATTTTTAAGAATGTAAGGGGTCCTGAAACCAAAAATTTTGAGAACTTTGCCATATTCAGTGGTCAGTTTCATTTCAGTTCCCGAGATGTCACAAATTCTGAAGAAGGCAGAAATACAGTAAATATTTCTTTTTAGAAGGTAATGAAAATGTTTCACAACTCTGTGAATGTTAAAAATCACTAAATTGTAGGAGTGCCTGGGATGCTCAGTTAGTTAAGCGTCCAACTTCGGCTCAGGTCACGATCTCACTGTTCGTGGGTTCAAGCCCCACGTCGAGCTCTGTGCTGACAGCTCAGAGCCTGGAACCTGCTTCGGATTCTGTGTCTCCCTCTCTCTCTGCCCCTCACCCACTCATGTTCTGTCTCTCTCTCTCAAAAATAAACATTAAAAAGAAAATTTTTAATAAAAAATAATAAGCATTAAAAAAATTAAAAATCACTAAATTGTACACTTTCCATGTGTGAATTGTATGGTATGTGAGTAACAACTTTTTTTAAAATGTTATTATTTATTCATTTTTAAGTAACCTCTACACCCAACATGGGGCTCGAACTCACAACCCTGAGATCAAGAGTCGCATGCTCTTCCAACTGAGATTAAGAATCGCTCTTCTGAGTAAAAGCCAGGCGCCCCTGTGAATACCAACTTTTTTAAAGCCACTTTATTGAGCTATCAAAGATAAAATGTATAAGGAAAACTCTTCATTTCAACTGATGATAGTCAAGTAAATGAATAACATGCCTATCACAAATAGGTGTCGTACAAATATAAATGTTATAAACCAGGAACAAGAACCTAATCAATGACAAATGTTTAGAAAAAAAATGAACTGCAATTTCTGTAACAACAAAAAAACAATTTACCTTCCGAGAGTTTTTGACATGATGTATTCGTCTCTTAATTCCTTAGGATAAACTGACTGATCATCTACAGTCAGGTCAAAAAATACAAAAACTAAGGGGGAAAGGGCAGAAATAGGTCTCATTAATTCATTCGATAAAGATAAAATGGTCCTAAAATTTAGTAAACATATGGAATATAAGACAACTGTTTTCAATTACATTTAACACCTAACCCTAAAGGAATTGGTTAGCCAGTTTAACCCCTGTTATGAAACCCAGAGAAACCCATGGACAATGACAGTCAAATCTCATTCTTCAATAGAAATACACAACATCATCTCACGTTAGTGCAGGAAATCCATACATATATGGCTAATCTTATTCCTCAGTCTCAGAGTATTAGTCAACTGCAACTAATATAAAACACCCATGCAGATTAGCATAAACCCAGAACCAAAAAGCAATCAGTTTGAGCATAGAAAAAAATGTTCTAGACATATAAACATCCCAAAAAAATTAGACCATAGGTCATCACACTAGTATTATTTCTCTTTGCCATTCATAGACCTTTACATGTCTGGCATTTTATAGTGCAAACCATCTTGAACCTGCTTGTAAAGTTAAATAAATAGCATTTCCCCCCAAATCCCCTTTTTCTCCATTATTTGGGTTGTATTCCAGAAAAAGAAAAAAAATAACCCCACTCATTTAAAAATTTAACCATCCACGTGAACCAAGGCTGCAATCAATTATCGACATTTCAATTCTACAAAATCAATAGTAAATTTGCAACTGCCTGCAATATCTTGAAACAGTAAAATGTGTTAAGACCCTTGAGTTTCTCAGATTTCAGGCAACAGGTTTTGACCTCCCTGGAGTAACCAAGAGTTCTAGTCGCTGGCACAAATCTGAGCCACCTGAGTGTGCTTCATTCCAGGCTGGTCTACACAAGACAGACACTTGCATAGTGAAGGAAACCTTCCAGCAAACCAACAGTTTCTCTGTGTTCATGGATATTTATGAACCTAGATGTTCCAGTGGCATCTGAGAATCTGGGAATTTGAGGGGCTCTGGAGGGCTACATCTCACAGATGTCAAGGTCTACTTCAAGAGCTACAAATTCAGTTGTCCATACAAGCCAAGGTCATGTACACAGGGAAGGCTGGGTTGAGGGTGGGACAACGTGGAGCAATGAGGACTTGAATGGGGAAAACATGCCGTCCATCTAAACCAGGAAGGCTCTACTGAGCACTGGCAAATCCTCCAGTTATGGAATTATAGGCTCAGTATGGCCAGGCAGTGCACCTTTTTCAAAGCAATCTAGATTTTGACGTTAAAGTACAAATAACAAATGCCTAATAAAATGTCAATAAACTGAATGCCATCTGCAGAGTGCCAGTCTGATCTATTCCAATTAAGGCCACCTTTAGCCCATATAACACATCTGTTCAGAACAGAACAGTTGCCCCGTAGATGGACCAACTACGAAAAGGTGGCACACAGCTGGTCAAGTAAGACAGGCCAAATTTCAGCATTCAGATGTCGCCTGCACCAGGTGTTCTCAAACAGCAAAACCCTATGCAGCTGCCCTGACTATAATTATCAGATTGAAAACAAAATAGTCAGAAATAGGGAAAACTGTCATAAAATGCATTTTAGGATGCCCAGCGTGGCCATCGTTCCCAGATGCCAGGCTGAAGACTGACTGCCTAAGAATCACCTAAGCAAGATTTTTTAATTTTTTTTTAACATTTATTTATTTTTGAGACAGAGAGAGACAGAGCATGAACGGGGGAGGGTCAAAGAGAGAGGGAGACACAGAATCCGAAACAGGCTCCAGGCTCCGAGCAGTCAGCACAGAGCCCGACGCGGGGCTCGAACTCACGGACAGTGAGATCGTGACCTGAGCCGAAGTCGGACGCTTAACCGACTGAGCCACCCAGGCGCCCCTAAGCAAGATTTTTTAAAATCCCTGGACCTACTAGACCAGGATCTGTGGGACAGCGTTTGTGAGCATCTAGTTTTTTTTTTAAGTTTATTTATTTTGAGAGAGGGAGAGAGCACACACACACGAGTGGGGGAGAGGCAGAGAGAGAGGGAGAGAGAATCCCAAGCAGGCTCTCCACACTGTCAGCACAGATCCCAGAGTGGGGCTTGAACGCACAAACCAGGAGATCATGACCCGAGTCAAAGTAGGACATTTAACCACTGAGCCACCCAGGCACCCCGTGGAGATCTATTATTTTTAAGTTATTACCCACACACACTCCCTTCTCATTCATTCAACCCTCAGATAGTTTTGTGAAATTCTGCGGGTTTGTTTGTTTTTAATCAAAGAAACAAAAGTATTCCTTTTGTCCAAGGATTTAAAATCACTGTGAGATTACATGTAACTCTTTAGGTTGCTTTAATTCCTTCTGTGCTGAATGACAGCTGTTCATTTTAGATGTGATGTTAGTAGTTTTAGGAACGGCTGCTTATAAAATGCTGCGTGATGATGACAATAAACATCAAAACTTTCAGACAATAACCAAGTAGTATCTAAGAAAATAGACAGTTTGGGTTGTTTTTTTTTTTAATGTTTATTTATTTTGAGAGAGAGAGAGAGAGCGCGCGCACATGTGTGCACAAAGGGGAGGGGTAGAAAGGGAGAGAGAGAATCCCATGGGGCTCAATCTCATGAACTGTGAGACAATGATCTGAGACAAAATGAAAAGTTGACACTCAACTGACTGAGCCACCCAGGTGCCCCAAGAAGGAAGAAGGTTTAAACTGAGATTCTTACAGAAAAAACCTAATGCCTGGCATATAAACAAACTTCAATAAATATATGTGCAATTAATGAATGGAAGGAACGAAAGGGAAGAATGAGAAAGGAAGGGAAGAAGGAAAGAGGGAGGGAGGGAGAAGAATTAATGGTCTAAAACAACAACTCACTGACATCTAAGACTGATGTGGTACAAACTGGATCAATCAATGAACAATGAAACATCTTAAGCAATATCATCCCATTGACAGTATATAGCCTTAAATAAAACCTATCACAGCTGTTAAACTTTAGAAATTCAATCTTGATAGAAATCTTTCCTAATTTAAGGATGCACCCAGGACTGAGTTGAATCCTGAATACTAACCGTATTACTTTACGTAACTAAACCATACTCGGCAAAGGGCATAATGTCGATCTTCCCTTTACAGGAGAGGAAAAAAAGATTCAGTAACCAGAAGATAGTAATGTTACCTTTATTACTCCACACTGAAAGTGCAATTTCAGAATTGTTACTCAAAGGAAGGCGTCTTCCTTTCCCTACAAGCTCTCTATTTACAAAGGTTCCATTCCCACTGTGATCTTCTATGTATGCGATGTAAGAGTTTTTGGGACCCATTTCCTAAAACAGAGAACATTTTATTTCAAAGTTTTAACAGTGGGGAGTGACAGTGCTAAGATATCTCACGGTGAAGGACTAGATTACCAATTTTCCCAAACATATGGATTTCTGTCACCTACTCTGAAAATCCGAAAGTGTTTCTTGCTGTAAGTCCGGTATTTATCCGTTCTTTTCAGCAGTGGCTCATCAAAGCAGTATTCGCAGCTCCTATCTCTCCCAAACCAGTAGCTGTCATTAACACACTCTGTAACACAAAAGTATACACCGGAGTGCTGTCGAATTTCGTGCATCAAACACCTTTAAAAACTGCTTGTAAAATGTAATTAGAGGAAGATAACCTAAGAAAGCAATCAAGCTTACAGATACCTTTATCAAAACGATATAGGAATAAAAATGAGGGAGGAGGAAAAGAACAATTTTCCAATGAGTTCAATAAATCGTGACTTATACATACCTATGAAATAACAAGCCGTCATTAAAAGTTCTCAAGCAATTATTAATGATTTCAAAAAACACTTAAAATCGAGTAACTTCCTACTCATGACCCTCCTGAGGCTTCCCATCTTCCTTACTATAAAATGTGCACTCCTCCCCATGGCAGGCTAGATGCTCAGGATCCAGCCCCTGCTTCCCTCCCAGCCTCACCTTGCACCGCTCCCCTTGATCACTCTACTTAGTCCCTCTGGTGGCTTCCATTGCCCCATGTCGGGTTCAACCCCCACCTTGTGGCCTTTGCATTCTCTGTTCAAACACAGCTACTTGCACAGTCATCTTGCTTTGTGTCTAGACTCAAACTGTCATCTTCCACTCAGCTTTCTGTATCAGCAGACTCCTACCTCGTCATCCATTATCATGGCATCCCGTTTTGTCTCCCTCTAAGTATGGACCATAATTGGAAGTTATCTTGATTATTTATATATTGTCTCCCCACACACCCCTTTTAGAACAAACTCCAGGAGGGCAGCCTTGGGTCTCCTGTGTTTTAGTTCCAGCACCAAGGACAGTGAATATAGTAGGCAAGTAAATGTTGATGAAGACAGACCAGGCAAAATGTTAGCACCTCATATCACGAAGTACTAATTTCCCTAATGTATGTCAAGTTCCTACAAATAAAAACAGACAAACAATCCAGTAAAAAATGGGTAAAGGATATGAAGAGACAGTTTACAAGAGACAGAAATACAAATGGCTCAAACATATGAAAAAATGGCCGAGGTAAAAAAAAAATTTTTTTAATTTAAATTTTTTTTTTTCAATGTTTATTTATTTTTGGGACAGAGAGAGACAGAGCATGAACAGGGGAGGGGCAGAGAGAGAGGGAGACACAGAATCGGAAACAGGCTCCAGGCTCTGAGCCATCAGCCCAGAGCCCGATGCGGGGCTCGAACTCACGGACCGCGAGATCGTGACCTGGCTGAGGTCGGACGCTTAACCGACTGCGCCACCCAGGCGCCCCAAAAATTTTTTTAATTTAAAAACCAGGGGAACCTGGTAGAACACGCAACTCTTTTTTTTTCCTTTTTTAATGTTTACTTTTTGAGAGAGCAAGAGACGGAGCGCAAGCAGAGTAGGGACAGAGAGAGAGGGAGACACAGAATCCGAAGCAGGCTCCAAGCTCCAAGCTGTCAGCACAGAGCCCGACAAAGGGCTCAAACTCATGAACCGTGAGATCATGACCTGAGCTGAAGTTGGATACTTAACCGACTAAACCACCCAGGCACCCCATAGAGCATGCAACTTTTGATCTTGGGATTGTGAGTTCGAGCACCACGTTAGGTGTAGAGACTACTTAAAAATAAAATATTTTTTAAAAATCAAATTTAAAAAATGCATAAACATGTACACATTTAAAAAAAAGAAATTTTAAATTTTAATTTTAATTTAATACATTACAATTTCATATTTCAGGGTGCCTGGGTAGCTCAACTGGTCAAGTGTCTGACTCTTGATTTTGGCTCAAGGTTATGATCTCACGGGTCATGAGTTTGGGCCCTGCGTCAGGCTCTGCACTAACAGCTTGGAGCCTGCTTGGGATTCTGTGTGTGTGTGTGTGTGTGTGTGTGTGTGTCTCTCTCTCTGCCCCTCCCCTACTCACTCCTCTGTCTCTCTGTCTCTGTCTCTCAAAAGAAATTAAACATTGGGGCGCCTGGGTGGCGCAGTCGGTTAAGCGTCCGACTTCAGCCAGGTCACGATCTCGCGGTCCGGGAGTTCGAGCCCCGCGTCGGGCTCTGGGCTGATAGCTCAGAGCCTGGAGCCTGTTTCCGATTCTGTGTCTCCCTCTCTCTCTGCCCCTCGCCCGTTCATGTTCTGTCTCTCTCTGTCCCAAAAATAAATAAACGTTGAAAAAAAAAATTTTTTTTAAAAAGAAATTAAACATTAAAAAAAATGTTTTTAAACAATTGTGGTACTTACATATAATGGAATATATATATGTAGATATATATATGCATTTTTTTTTTAAGTAGGCTCCACACCTGATGTGGAGCTTGAACTCATGACCCTGAGATCAAGAGTCTCATGCTGTACTGACTGAGTTAACCAGGTGCCCCTATCATGGAATATTATTCAGCCATAAAAAATAAACGCTACAACCCATACATGCCACAACATGTATAAACCTTGAAAACATTAGAAGAAGCCAGACACAAAAAAACCATGAGTTGTATGATTACATTTATATGAAATATCCAGAATACTTTAATCCATAGAAATGAAATACAGATTACTGGTTGCCAGGGGCAGGAGGAGAGACAAAAGGGAAGTGACTGCTTAACAGGTGCAGGGTTTTATTTTGGAGTAACAGAAGTGTTTCAGAACTAGACAAAGGTTGTGATGGCACTGAACTGTTCACTTTAAAATGGTTAATCTGGGGCCCCTGGCTGGCTCAGTCAGAAGAGCATGCAATTCTTGATTGTAGGATCACGAGTTTGAGCCCCACTCTGGGTGCAGAGATTAATTAAATAAAGAGACTCAGAAAAAAAAAGAAAGAACAATAAAGTGGTTAATTTTATGTCATGTGCATTTCACTGTGAGGTTTTTATTTTTTAGGTTTATTTATTTTGAGAGAGAGAGAGAGAGAGCACACATACTTACAAACCGTGAGATCATAACCTGAGCTGAAATCAAGACTCGGACACTTACCCTACCGAGCCACCCAGGCACCCCACACGTCAATTTTTAAAAATTACATAGACACACATAACTGGCCCAGAAATCCCACTTCTAGGAATTTATCCTATGGATAGAGGCATATGTATTATGAAACGATATAAGGACAAAACTAAAAAGTTATTCACTATAGCATTATTCTTACAGCAAAAGATTACAAACATCTTAAATCTCCATTAGTAAGGGATAACTTCAAAAAAACTTACATCTATAAAAAGGAATGAGAATCTTTACATTCTGAGATAAGGATATCTAAGATACAATGCTGAGTATTAAATGCCAGTTGCAAGCAATGTGTTGTGAATTATAATTAATCTAAAAATAAAAGGAAAATAAGAATATACAGGCACTTAGCAATATGGCATCATCCATTACAAAGTAAAGCCATGCCGACTCAAAGACCCAGCAATTCAACTCAGTCTCTACAACACATCTGCCAATTGACCAAGGAGACAACCACAAAGATGTTCAAGGAGTCTTGCTTACAGGAACAAAAACTGGAAACAACCTAAGTATCTGTTCATAGGGGAAGGAATAAATGAACCATGGTATTTCTACTAGAAATGCAGAACTTCTGCACCAGATGGGACAAGGAAGGGCATGGAGAATTCATCAGGACACTAACAGTCCAAGGATGGTGGACAGAGACTGTAAGAAGTGGGCCCCTACAAAAGGGTCTGTTCTGACCTTTGCTGATCAGGAGAGCCCCCAGGCAGAAGTGTGGAGGAGGGCAGGGAGAACAAGGGAGGAGGCAAGGGGACCAGAAGTTCTCAGAAAGGCAATGAGAGGTATGAATCCAGGGAAGGATGGGTCCATCTTCCCAGTAGGGAAGGGGTGCAGGTGAGAAGGTGTGTAGAGAGAGCAACAGATACACTGGTTTTGGCAAGTGAACTGAAAATTAGGTAAGTTAAAAAAAAAAGAATGAAAGAAAGAAAAAGAAAATTTAGGTAAGCAATTTTCTTTTAGGGATTCTAGACCTCTCTGAAGTTCGAATTCACTGTCCTCCCTCTCAAAGGATCCTATATCACAGACAAAAAAATTAAAATCATCTGGGATAAGTTAACCCATCTCTCCCTTTGATCCCCATTCAGCTCTGACCTTTGGCCTATCATCTTCACCTTTGCTTTAACATCCCCCCCCCCCCCGCTGCCCCATTTTACAGATGAGGATGGTGAGGCTCAGAGAGGTAGCATCACTTGCCTGAGGTCACACAGCTAGATGGTGACAGAGCTAGGACTTGAACCCATGTCTTTCTGACTACAGCACCCTCCCTCTTTCCCAGCTCCAGCCCTTAAGCTACACTCTCACCCTTATTTTCTTCCTACTCAAGCATTTTTAATCTCTTCCTCTACCAGTTTCTCTCACGCTCATTTCAAACAGGAACAAGCCTCCCTTGGGCTCCACACTCCCCTTTGGTTGCTAACTTTCATCACGTTTCTTACAGCATACTTACTTCTTTCTCAATGGCAGGTTAAGGACATAGGTTTAAAGTTGAAAAGTTGTAGGATCAAATCCTGCCTCTACCAACTCTGGGCTATATGACTAGACAAGTTAATCAATCAAGTGAGGCTTAGAGCCTCAGTTTGCTCTTCTGTAAAACGGAGGTAAGAATAAAAATAGTCTCTCATTAGATTATTTTGAAATTTAAATAAAATAGTCCCAACACTTCACCCAACAAAAAGAAAACGTACATTCTTCCCAAATGCTTATGAAAAATATTCTCCAAGATAGAACATAAGCTAGAGCGAGAAACCTACTCCATGAACATAAAAGAACAGAAATCACACAAAGTATGTTCTCTAATAACAATGTAATGAAATTAGAGCTCAAAAACACAAAGAAATTTAGTAAATTCCCAGTTAAGCAGAATTAACTAAAAAAAACCAAAGGGACAAAGAAAAAAAATCATTAAGGAAAATTAAGAAATACTTTGAAATGAATGACATGAGAAAACAACATACCAAAACTTATGGGATGCAGCTTAAACATTTCTTAGGGAAATTTACTGTTGTTAATGTCTAAGTTACAAAATAAAGATTTTATGTCAATAACCTAACCTTCCTTAAGATGTTGAAA